CCTGGGGGGTGATTTCCTGCTTTCTGTCTCTCTGTCTGGCGAGCGCACATGCCCTAGAGCAAAAACCTCTCCAAAAAAAAAGAAAGAAAGAAAGAAAGAAAAAAAATCACTGTTTTAGGGCCAGCCTGGTGGCACGGTCGCGGTGCGCCAGGTGCAGGTCTGACCCCTGGGTTAGCCTGAAACGAGCTGTGTGCATGTTTCTGAGGTGCCGAGGACTGGAGGAAGAGCATTCTGGTACGAGGAGCCCCTGGGCGTGCTTCTCCCTCCCTCGTGCACACGCACATGCTGCAGCGATTAGAGCTTCAGAATGTTTTCATTTTCAACGTTTTTTCCAGAGGGCACATGCTCTTGCCGGAGAGAGAGGGGGCGTCAGGGCGGGATGAGAAGCACCCCTCACGAGGGTCATGCCACAAGCCCTTCTCCATTTTTCTTTCCTTTTGGGATTTTGGGCACACACACACACACACACACACACACACACACACACCCAGCATGTTTTTCAAGCTTCCAAGTCCTGGGTTCGAACTGAACCGTGTGGTAAGCCCGTGGGATCCATCTGCCTTCACCTCACTACCAGGTGGCCTGCTTTGGTGTGTTTTGTTACAAGGTTGATCAAGTCTGTCTCTGTCATTTAAAAAAAGATCTTGCTGATTTCCTTTGAGAGAGAGAGACAGGCACCTCGATGAGGTCTCTCCCTGCAGTCCTCCCTATGTCAGCAGGACCATGGGTGCCCTTGGCATGTTAAGGTGAACCCAGGATGCAAACCCTGGGTCTTCCCACGTGGCTCCCAGCATCAGGCAGCAGCATCTCCACCGTCCACATCACCACAGCTGGGCTTCGCTATTATTTCGGGTTTATTTATTTATTTTATTATTTTTTTATTTTTTGAGAGGTCTTTGCTATAGGGTGCGTGCACTCACCAGAGAGACAGAGAGAGACAGAAAGCGAGAAATCACCCCCCAGGAAGGATGGCCACGGCCGCAATCCCTTCTCCTCCATTCTCCTCTCGGGATCTTGGGCACGCACGCACACGCACCCAGCGTGAGTTTAAGCCACCGGGTCCGGGACTCGAACCGCGGTCGACTACCTGGGAGTCTGGTGACATAGCTATTATGCTATAGTCTCCACTATTTTTAAGAGCAAAAATACTTACTGGGCCTCTCTATGCCAGAGACGGCTCCAGGCCTGCACGTGATGATGGGCATGATGAAATCCACACCACACATTCTCTCCATTTGCCATAACTTACCCACAGCTCTGTCTTGAAGCTAAAACTTTTTTATTTTATTTAACTTTATTTATTTATCTATTTATTTTAATTTGACCAAAGAGGGACAGAGAGAGAGAGAGATAGAGAAAGGGAGAAAGGTCTAGGACTCGAACCATGGCCGGTCATGTGAGAGTCCAGTGCCCTGCCACCTGCCAGCCCCCGAAGCCATCACATTTTCACTATTGCAGCTTTGTTCCATGTTCTGCTGTCTGGTAAAATGACTACACGCAGACACCCACACGTACATGCACACAGTCGTGACGTGCTAACATTCGGTGGGGACCTACTGTGTGCCGGTCACCGCCCAGGCGTGTGGTCCACATGCTGAGTGAGGCAGACGGGCTCTGTCTCCAGCCCGTGTTCTTGATGTGTCTGTGGCTCTGTGCCGAGCTGTGCTGCTTTCATTACGACAGCTCCTCTGCACGTGTCCCCACGTGGCAGAGCCTGCGCCTCTCCACACAGCCACCATTGCTAAGGCGAGAATAGTTTTCTGACCACTTTAGCATGCCAGTGGGGATACCGTGGTGAACAAGTCCACTAAGATCCCTTCCCTCAAGTGGCCAAGGGATACCCGCTACTGCACACATAAAAACACGGCTTGGCGGGCCGGCCACGATGGCGTAGTGCTTGTGCTCGGCTCCCCCATGCCGTCTGAGAAGAGGGGAATTTGGTTCCTGGGTGGGCCTGGATATATCAGGGACAGATGTGTGTTCCCATGGTCCTGGCTGGCCGGGAAGGCTGTGGGTAGATTATGTCATGAGACCTTGTTGAGAAAGGACCCCTTAACCTCTCCAGCTCCCCCACAAAAAAGAAATGTTAGGAAGAAAACTGTCGGGGCCAGCAGGTGGTATACTGGTTGCATTGTTGGA